AAAAAGGAAAAGTCGTTTAGGTCCAAAGTGCTGTCCCCATATTTTTAGTGTATCAGACCGTGGAGTATAAATGCAGTATTAAGCAAAAACCCCTAAGCCAAAACTCTTTGGAGCATTGATTAATTGAGTCAATCCTTTCCACCTTAATAATGAAATTTAAAAGAATCACAAAAAATGCATCAGCTTAGAAACTGTCAGTAGTTATGATGGTCTGAAAGGAAAGAATTTAAATGCCAGCACCCTTACATAGGCCGAACCGTTTTGGCTCACAGTATTACTTCTTGGGGTCTCCGGGAGGTATCCAAGTGGATAATTTAACAATCCAGGCTTCACCGCAAGTTTGGCCAAACGAATCATGGTACTGAGGTTAAGGGCAGCTGCATACTGGGAGATTCGACAGTACTAACGGTAGCAGTGCGTTTTTTTGTAACACAAGTGTTTTGCGGATTTTTTCACTGGAAGGTAAACAAACTCCTCAGTAAATGTGTCCGTCCATAGTGCATTCTGCTTTCCTCGTTTTCTTCTGTTGTACGATGAGATGTGTCGCCCAAGGGGATGTCACTGCTTTCACTATTTCGTATTTTTACTCAAATACGTGAGTTAAATTGCCATACGGAATTTCAGGGGAGTGTTTGAGGCGACTGAGGTAATGCATGCTAGAAGGGAAAATCTGAGTGTTGAGTGCATTTGCGACGATGGTTGTAAGAATGTGGAGGTTAAAATGAATATAGTGGCGGAAGATGCCTTAAACAGTACCATATGCTAACAGCAACCACTCGCTGGCGTGACTGCCGATAGTTCTTGCTTCTGAAGATAGTTGTTTGACAAGGCTCTGTTGTGTTTTTACAAAATAATTCATATACCTAAATTAGAGTCAGTATGCTGTGTTTTACTTAGTATTTTTTTTCTTTATCCTCTTACATGCAAATATTTGAGAGTAAGCTAAAAAAATTCGGTAAAGCTCAAACAGAAAAGATGCAAAAAAATAGGATCAGAAAAGTAAAGAGGAAGTGAAAGAGAAAAGTAGCGAACGCGAAGGAACCGTTAATGCCGTTTTTCTCAGTCACATTTGCGTGTATAACTGTAATCAACCTTATGTTTTTTTTGCTAGAACTTTCCTGAGCTGAGTATAAAAAATAATTTCTTGTGAGGTTTTAAAATTGCCTCTGCTGACTATCAGAAATTCCTGGAAAACTTTCCGGATGAGTAAATTCTAATGAACTGATGCAGTCACACTTCGGAAGCAGCGGCTGTCACAGAATATTGAAATGCTTCTTAACCCAGTAATAACAAAGCAACTTGATAATTTCTTCATATTCTTAATTTGTTACTCACTATTTTTCGATTATTACCTTTTAAATTTTTCCTTTTTCACCTTATTTTTTGTCTTTGGAAAATTAATAGTTATTCAATTTTTTTAATTTGTGCGGTATTTATATAAGGCTAAACGCGAAAAAACTGCATTAGGTCGAAAATGAAAGGAAAGGTTTTGGGTCCTAATTTTATTAAATTGTTTTTTGATTCAAATTTTAACTTGTAGGTGATTTTGGATCGGAAATCGGGCACCACGTCAAGCTGGTCAGCAGCAACAACACCTGCTGAGTTGGGAAGCAGTCGGAGATTCCGCAGAAAGGTGCATTTTTCAATAAATTTCGCTGTCTAGTTTTTTCCTTTCTTTTTATTATGTTCGTATTTTATTCATTGCGCATAAGACGCTAAATTTTTTGCTACAGACTCCGCTTAACCTTTTGTAAACACTTTACTTGTATCAGAATCAAAATCATATCCACGAACGAGTCTTATCCCGAGTTTGCTTGGAGTAACAGCAGTACCTTGGGCTTCTGAGAACTTCAGGAACAAAATGTGTTTGACTGGAAGATTTTTCAGTGGTAGTTTTTTTTTTTTTTTGCTGCAAATCGTTTAAGAAGCACAGTGAAAGCAGTCGCCAGACAAAACATACTTCCGGGATGAATCAGTTTGTTTTATTGGGATTGATTCACATTCAGATAACATTAAGCCACAAAAACCCCGCGCCGTAGAACATCTTGCAATATTGATTCAGGAAGCCCTTTAGATACCTCGTTCATCCGGTCCTCAACCCTCCCCCAACCGCTCTTTTTTTCTGGATGAAAATGTGGAAACGAATTGGGATGAAAAAGTGATAAACTTTTCATAGAATTAAGTCTCTATAAAGCATACATCTCCGATTTTTGTTCGGATTATAAGTTCTAACTTAATAGGAGTATCAAAAAAATCCTTATTTTGACCCAAGTTGTTCTCCAGTATTTGAGTAATTTTAGGCAGTTGAACTCGAAAGAGTCAATTAATTTAGCAGGTTGTCTAGAAATTCTTGGATAATGCGTATTAATATTTTTGGAACTGTAAGAAATTTCGCTCACAACATTCTTCAGTAATCAAGTTCATGAGTGAACAATTTACACGAATAGTTTTATTGTGTGTATTCATTTCTGTTCCAAAATTTTACAAAACTAAAAAGTTCCAATTTTCCAAACTTCTCCTATACTGTTTATAGCGACAGTGTACCACAAACCTGATCATTTTAGAGGCAGTACACTTGACCTTGCGACTCATCATATCAATGAGTTAGTTAAGATATGGAGGAAGAGTGAGTGCTGAGGTCTTTCTCCTTCGTCAACTCTTTTCCCTTTGATAACAGCTCACTGTTTTCCTCCGTTTCTTCCTTTATTTCTTCTGACCTTGCCTTCTTACTAGATTGATTTTCCATCGATTACAAGACGATAAGGAAATAATGAGCTCATTGGAGGGATAGAGAACTTAGCTGGTGCAATCGAACTGCGCTCTCCTGGAAAAACCATCGCAACCATGTTTTGCTCGTACAGGCCATGGTTGCAAACAAGCACCCACAATCCCCGCAATTCTCGCCTCGCATCCGGAATCTCTGTACCATTCTGCCTTTTTTTATCCTTTTTCTTTTGAATTTTAATGCCTCCGAGCATCTCTGTTGCAGACACGGAGCCATACAGAGTCACTACTTGTCTATTTCAAAAAGTTAGTACCTAGCGTTTATGCACCAGTTCTTCTGAGGCTGACCTCTTACTTTTTCATGGATACAACAAACTAGATCAAATTATCATTTGCAAGAGTTCGTAATAAAAATTTAAAGTTCACAGGTGTATTCTGGATTATAAGATTTGTGCGGTGTTGCAGGAGGATTACATCGAAAGCAGAACTATAGGCGATCCGGAAAGAGCTTCATCGGTGCGCAATATCGTTGCTGGGTTTCAACAGAGGCAGTTTGCTCAAGTACCACCCTACGTACAAGGTTAGTTCCAGAGCACAAGGAAGAATACTACAATTGAGTTTTTCAAATTCGGCTTACTTCTAAAAGGATTATGAGTGTTCTCTTGATATTTCTACGTAGAGTATCAATGGTTCATCCACAGAGGCCCTGTTAACCAGAACAGGACCGATTCTTACCGTTACTGTGCGTCGTGAAGATATCTGTCAGATAGCTAAGAAATCCCTACTTTAGTGGGTCGTGGTCAAGGAAATCCAGAAATCCAGGTTCAGATATCCAACATATAGCACAAGCCAAAAATTCATCAGTTATAGCTTATCATATATGACCGGTTCAGTTTTCTGTCCAGCTTATCTGCTTTTAATTTTTAAGCATTTTTAAGTACTGTTACTTTTTAGGCATCGTTTTTCAGCATGCTTCAGGTTTCATTTTCCACAGTTAGATAGTTTTGCAGTTTCTTATGTTCATTTATTCACCTAAACGAGTGAGCGTTCCTTTACTGTATATGCTTCAGTCTTTAACATTTGCAAATATATTTCGCAGTTAAATGACACCTTTTCCTTGTACACTATATGAATGAAAGTTGTAGCAGTGAAAATATTTATTGACCGTTTATTTACATATATTTAAATTAAGAAAATTTTCCCATAAAAGACGGTCTCTGTACTTAACATCGCTGGAGCCACCCGTATAACTATTCCAAATGTGATTTTGCTCCTTGAATAGCAGCAATAATTTTCTGCTTGAAGTCAATAAATAGCTTAGCATTGATTTATCCCTTAGTGTCCATGGCGCACTGGGAAGTAGCACCGTTTTCGTTCAGAAGATCAAAGGTTCGGCTCCGCCAATGTGTTAACCGATTCTCCCTGCTATTCGTTCATTCGTTTCGATAGTAAATTGATACCGGTACATGCCGGCTTTGCTTCTAAGCAACCCTTGAAAGAGGAAGTCAACGAGAGTCTTGCCAGTCAGAATAGTCACTATTGGCATTTGCTACTGCTCGGGCTACTTCCAAATGTTTCCCCCTCTCAGAAACGGTGAAGGGGGTAGACATTTTGATTTTCGGGAAGATTTGTGTTCGCGCCAAATCGAAGGATGGTTTGTCACTTGATTCATCGGTATGCCACGATGACCGCCTGGTCTGTTACTGAGAGTTCTGCAGCTTTGCACTCGGGTACTGTACTCGGGGGGGGAGGTCGGGTCTTGCCGGGCTTATATCCCCTTTCCCTGTGATTTCCCGGAGCAGTATCGTAGCCCCCCTCCCGCTCACCTCCCTGCTGCCACTTTACCCTCGGATCGATTTTGGCACGGAACTGAGTCCCGCCTTCATTCGTTGTGAGAATCTTGTGGCCGCGAAAATGTTCAAATTCATTTTGTTTAAAATCGTGAATCGCTATGAAAATAACCGTCTCCATAAGTTTTGCGTGTATTTACGTTGTAAAAGTGAGCATTACGGTGGTAGTAGTACCACTGAAGGGCCT